GAAACTCGAACCCAGGACCTTCGATCTCGAATGAGAACATTTAACTTCTAGACCACTGAGCCGGAACCTAACAGTGTTAATGTCTGGCTTCAACTAATCCACGATTGTCTTCAGTGAGTAACTACTTCACAACAGACACAGTTGAACTACATTTGTCACAGCTTCTCAATTGAACTCCAGGAAATTCATCTTGAAGCCAGTCACTAGTGAGCACATGGTCATTAAATATTAATAATTCACTGTTATAAATATAACTTCTGAGGATTCGCATACTAGGACAGAACTGCCGTCCAGTGCCTTTGGGTTTTCAATAACGATTTAATGTTTATCGGTTCATGATCTTAGTTAAAATCAAAATAATTGTTAATGAAAAAGATTTGATAGAATTCGGAAGTGATTATTTCATAGTGAAAGATGTAAGAATATGTTTCTTTATGATTAATTTCATGAACTGATTATTTTCGACGACATAACTGGTTGACATGGATTAGGATCAGCCACGATGAATCCCGTACATTTATCACTATTTATCTCCCAATCGGTTTTGAGCTGCAGTATTCTTTCAAACATTTCCTTTCCATTTTGCCTTTTTTAAACCATATTCTCAACGCTTAGTATCCATTATTATCATTGCCAACACTATTGTTCCTACTGCTTCGTTTTTCATCCCGTTGTACTAATGGTTCATGCCGGGCTGACTGTAAAATGTAATTACTTAGTAGTTCTATTATGTTTTAAAACCAAATTAAATTAATCACCTGTATGATGCAATTAATTAGACTAATAATTATATTATAAGACTAATAATAGTGCTACTACTACTACCACTTCTACTACTATTGTAGTGAACGAGAACGCAAGTAGGGATGATCAAATGTATTTGCATACCAAATTACTGAGAACCATATAGTAAATATCTCATTTGCAAAATATCCATCAATTGTCTCAAAATTTTTTGCTCTTTCATTTCAATATCAATCACTCGCTGTTCTCACTCTCTTGTCTTATATTTTCACAACCATCTGCCACCAGGCATTCCATTTTCGATTGGTGAAACATACTACTCATATCTGTCGATATCAGTAGCACAAATCACGCAACGACTACTCGTAAAATAATTGATATTTGGTAATTAGGTATTACTGTTTGTGGTAGAATCTTCATTAATTTCATGTAATCCTGAGTGTATTTTAGGAAAATCTGTAAAATATATCGCCTGCTGTACTCAATGCTGCCTAATCATAACTTATGAATTTGTTGAGATAATTTGTAGTGACTTTTTAAAGCATTGTAGTCATATTTTGTTTAAAATGAAATATCAGCAATGTAGTCGTGTTAAATTTACATAGATGCTACGAAAGATTTTGATACGTAGTAAATTTTGCCTTATTTCGGGTTGGATAGCTAGATGTACCTGTGTCCTACGGTTGATGTTTATTCTGGGATTCGAACTCAATATCTTTCACCCTGAAGTCCAACACAAAATCCACTTGGGTATTGTGTTCAGATAGCAACTTATATAATACATGAATTCCTATCCAATTTGTTATATCTTGCATTATCCCATTGTTGACGTTTTGACTAGGTTTTGATCAGTTGTAGTTGGCATATATTCGTCCTTGAAAATTGTTTCAGTGATAGTCAGTCGCTTGAATAATGGTTTTTATTTATTTTAGTTGGGTGCTTTTCATCTTCAAGAATCTCTCCTTCAGTTTCCTTTCGTAATCATACCCTGAATAAAGTGCTTACACAATGTTTTTGTAGTGATAATATACTGGAGTAAACCAATTCTTCTTGACATTTGTTATGACTGTGGCAAAACTACTACTTATTACAGCGGGACAACACTGATATGATTCTATATAAAGCCAAAGGAAAAACTTTAAGTGAAGAATTATTTATTAGACTCTTGGCTGCCAGGTCGTGTATCCGCAACGCTGAAGAGTCATACACTAAATCGAAATGGTCGTCCAAGGCTTTCAGGTTTTTAATGAGGGTCTAACTGAGATCAGTTCGTGATTTAATCTGTGAAAATTATTTATCTACCCCAGTAAAATAGGAGACGTTTATACTGATAGTTTCCACGTGTTCACTAGTCACTAGCTTCATGAGGGAATTCTCGAAGTTCTGGTGAGAAAGCGTGACCAGTGGAACTAATCCGTGTCGGGTAGAGAGAGGTGTCTACCTCAGCACAATGGAAGATGGTTGCGCGATTTCGTGGATTGGTTGAGGTTAGACACTAACACCATTGGATGCCGGCTCAATGGTCCAGTGGGTTAAGCGTTCGCTCACGAGACTCGAGGCTCTGGGTTCGAATCTCGCAGGGCGGGATCGTGGATGCGGACCAGTGAGGAGTCCCACAATTGGACGAAACGGCCGTTCAGTGCTTTCAGGTTTTCAATGGCGGTCTAAAATCAATCGGTTGATGATCTTAATCAAAAACGTAATAATCTCCACAACCCCATACTGAATAATATCTACATAGGAGCAACAGATTCATTACATATCCGATCATTGATTCCACCACTGAGTTGAAACTATGTGAAAATTACCTAGTCCATGATCAAATTTCAATACATTAAACTGGTCAGTACTTGACAACAATTCATTAATAACTTAATACAAGAATACAATTTATTAGATCAATGAATTGAACTGTTTTAACTAATAAATAATATCAAATTATTAAGTTGAATATTTGCTCTTTCTTGACACAATCATATCCACATTTAAGTTTGTTTTTCAGTCTGTCATATTTTATAAATTAACATATCACAATTATTTAGGTTTTTTTAATTATTGATATGGTTATATGATGAAAACTGTACAACTTTTCAAATGAGATACATGTTAAGAATGTAGGTTATTGACTAGGTTAACTCTAACAACTTGTTCGTCACAAAGTATATTTGCTAGGTAAGGTATTATAGAACTTTGATACTTTTGCTTGCGTGCTTAGATTTTAATGTAATTTCGTCTCGTTCTACCAGAAGATATACAAGGAGAAAGATATGAGTCAAGGGCATGGTTAGTATCAGATAAAATAACACCTGCCAGGAGTTTGCATGAATTTAGATGTCTATCCACAACCATAATAATTATGGTCTCGAAAGATTCACTACATACCTTGCTAACTGCCTTCAGCACTCTCCGCAGTACAGCAAAGTCATTTCTCAAAAGCCTGGGAAAGAATAATGGAGAACAGTAAAGAATAATAGGTAATATGCAGGAATTGACAAATTGTAGGAGTAAATGATGAGTGATCCCAAGAGCATGCAATCTCTTAATGTAGTAAGTCAGACGGAAAACCTTCTTCGATAACAATAAAATGTGATGAGACCAAGAGAGATCAGGGGAAAAAGTAACATCAAGATAATTGACCGTCGACACTGTGTTTATCAATGAGTCGCCTATGGCACAAGCATCATGGAATCTCAAAATGGTATTTAAATGTCAATCATGTCTCATGCTAAGGTTAACAGCTTGACATTTAGACGGATTAAGCATAAAACCATTAACAACAGACCAACAATCAATACGAGACAAAAACTCATTCATTTCTATAGGATGTAAAGAGAAAGACATAGGCATACATACAGTGTGATCATCTGCATATTTCACAAAAGTGTTAACTGTGGAAGATGGCAGATCATGAAGAAAAAAAGAGAAAAGAAGAGGTTAAAGAACGGCTCCTTGTGGTACGCCTTCATGAGACAGTAGAGACTCAGAACACTTTCCTCCATAAAATAATTGAGTAATTGAACATGTTTCCATTTTATAATTAACCTAATCAGCAGTAAATTTTTCTTAGTTCTGATTGATGGTTGTGATTGATAAGCTATCTATTATTTTAAATGTTAACACACTATCCATTAATTTACTATATACTGATAGTCATTTACTAAACATGGACAACAGAGTAAAAAAAAGTTCTTACTAGTTGAACAATTCAATGATTATCTGAACTGAATAGTTCAGTGGATAATGTGTTGAGGTTTGAAGTGATAGCTATTGGTTTCATATCCTAATGTGAACATTAATACTGGAATACGAGTAAAAAAAACGTTGATGAAACCAAGATAGGATGAGGTTAGCTTTTTGGATATCATTGTCAGCCACAAATTAATAAAACTTGTGATCAATTAGGAATATTGAGACAATACTTTCAGAATGCACATTTACCAGTCATTATATTTGTAAACAAATACCAGGGTATAAGAAGTAGAGAATGTATCAGCAGTTGTAGAAAAGATTAAGTAGAAAAAAATTTCATCAGACGATTTCAGAACTCAAAAACTAAGGGATGATAAAAAGCGTATTCATCTATACAATTGTGATCGATTTTAAGTCGTAAGCCGATGTCTCCAAACACTAAACATTATCATAATATGGATCCATCCACAATATCAATTAACATATGCTCACTAGTGACTGGCTTCAAGAGGTATTTCCTGAAGTTCTAATGAGAAGCAGTGACTAATGGTGTTTAACCAGGTCCGTTGTGACATAGTAACTCATTGATGACAATGGTGAATGTGTCACTCAATTTTGTGGATTGATCGAAGTTAGACAATTACACCGTTGGATGACGGCTAGCTCAGTGGTTTAGAGGTTAAGTGTACGCGTGATAGGTTCTGAGTTCGAATCTCGAGAAATAGAATCGTAGATGCACACTAGTGAAGAGTCCCACAGTAGAACGAAACGGCCATCCAGTGTTTCCAGGTTTTTTATAATGATCTAGCTTCAATTGACTCATAATCTCAATCATTGAAATAAAATAATTGTTCAAAATAAAATTTATTAAATATTTTAACAAAAAGTAGATTCTATACACCTTTCAATAGTTACAATTGGTAACCAATTAGCTATTATATTTCAAAGAATTTATACCACACACTTTTCCTAGTTTATAATAAACATTATACATATACATATAAAGAAATTTTACCAAAATAACTATTGATTTTCTTGAATTCTATTTTTGTATTTTTATATCATAGAATGATTGTCTTGGTCGTGTATTATTCAATCAAGTTATAGAACGTTTAGGTGGAATTATTGAAAAAGATTATTTTGGTCTACGTTATTTAGATCGTTCTAAACAACGAGTAAGAATATTTATTGAATACAATCAGTTTTCATATATTTACATTTTTTTTGTTTTTTTTTGTTTTTTGAATATATATGAAAGTAATGGTTGATAAGTTGAGCCAATAAAACAAAAGTTACAAGATAAATGTACTCTATTAGTAGAGATTTGGTTTCCTTTTTTGTTCAAAAAGGAAATCATGCTATTGGTCAAAAATGTAGCTTAATTTTCTTAGGGATAAAAATGATTATTTTTGTATAAGTGTTTTAATCAATAAAGCTCTCTTTTAACTCTCTATCTTCTTACTCACTTATCTAGTTTGTGTTCACATCTATGTAGCTTCCATATATCTGCAATTCATTCTTTTAGATGATATACAATAATATATGAATGATGTAGTTAGTTTATATTTAATGAAAATGATACTTTTGAGTTGTTTACAAGAATTAAAATGTTTGTTTACAACCATATATATGTATCATAACATTAAAAGATTCACCCCATAACTTAATAACTAAATTCAAGATTCTACACAACACGATGTAATTGTTTTTCAGAAGTTTGGGAAAACCAATGGCGATCAGTATAGAATATTAGATAATATACAATAATTAACAATTCGTATAACCGAATTTCATGGAATGCTAGAAACATACGAACTCTATACATAATAAGTTAGACGATGAACGACCTTTAGTATCGACAAAAGATGGGAAGATTGAGAGAGATCGTAAGAGAAACATATGAAAGGATAAATAAAATCTTTAATAGAATAGATTTCAACAACATATATAAGCGAACAATATTGTTTTAGATTAGATCCTCATCAGGTTTTGCTCTAATATACAGTAATATTTATGTGCATATACGAAATTATTAAACCAATCATGGTAGTGTATGAGTCAATAATAACAATGAAAACGATTACATAATAAGTGAAAAGTACAAACAGTTTTCATTTGATTCCAATAGGATATTTAATTGTTTGACATGTCTCAGGCTAAAGTTATGACTTTTGATATTTAGATGGGTTAAGGGTAAGATCGTTAACAATCGACTATTTTTTTATGATTGAAAGGGAATTCGAAGAGGAAGTAACATGTGTACATATTTAACACCAATTTAGGGAATGAGTAATTTGTCTTTACTGGTAGACATGTAAGTAAATTATTTTTTTCCAGTTGGCACATTTTTAAAGCAAAGTTCATATTGAAGGATGAGGTTGCTAACCCCTTGATCAACCTTCCTTTTTTTTTACTCGGACTTGAGACTACCATTAACCCTAGAAGATCTTCAGTTGGAGTTAGCAATTGAGTATTTCAATTCTTCCAATTGGTTTAAGAATAACTAAACAAATTTATAACTTTAGCCGAAGTTATTATTAATAGTGGCAATACATTAGAATATGTTAGGTCCAAATAAGCATAATGAATGGTAATTTTGGGATCCATTAATGAACCAATACTATACGTATACATTTATCGTATAATTGTTATGTAACTAAACTATTCATATTCATATCCCTCTCATTATGAGCTTTATTTTGATCTATGAACTATTATTATACGTTTTACCATTCTTGAATTATGCCCTGTCTATTAGTCATTACCTCCCACATTCATAGCCCACAAGTTTTAACAATAATATTTATATTATTTTAAAACTTTAATAATAAGTAGTATATAGCATAATCGTGAATGTATTATTTATTTTGATTTATTTCTTTATTTTATAGCAATGGCTAGAAATGTCTAAAACCGTTTATAAACAATTGAAATGTAAGTAACATTTATCATATTCATTATTAATTTGTATATTTACTGAAATGTATCTATTCAATCAACACTGTGACTTCTTAATACTTAGAACGTAATTCAAAACATAATATACGTTAAAACATCTAAATAATGAGTAAGTTTATAGAGAATAAATTTAGTTGATAGATTAGTCGTTTAAGTATAGGGATTTCGGTGAGACTATAATTTATGGACAAATTTTTGAGTGACATCAGTGTGACCTTGAGTATGCCTAGCTACTAACAAGAATTAAATGAGGATTATAAACCAGTGTAAAGAATAAAAATCATGATTTACTGTTGATAGTTAGAACTAGGAATTAGATTAGAAGTTTTTATCACAAATGAAGACGTAAAGGCAATCATTGGCAAAACAAGGACCGTATTCCTACAATTGAAGAACATATGAAACTCAAAACAACAGTCAATCAATATCAAAGTCAGAATTTTCAATACGAACGTCGAAACAGTTCTACTAAATGGAGCTAAAACTTGAAGAACTACTACAATCATCATCAAGGAGGTAAAAATATTTATAAACAATTGTCTACACAAGATACTCAATGTCCGTTGTTCGGAAACAATTAGCAACAGCCTTCTGTGGGAGAGAACAAACCAGTTTTCAGCTGAGAAGGAAATTAAGAAAAGACGATGGAAGCGGATAGGACACACATTACGCAAATCACCAAACTGCATCACGAGGCAAACTGAAACTTGAAATCCTGAATGGAAACGGAAAAGAGGAAGACCGAAGAACACATTACGTCGGAAAATAGAACCAGATATGAAAAGGATGAATAACAACTGGAAAGAACTGGAAAGTATTGATCAGGACAGAGTTGAATGGAGAGTGCTGGTGAGCGGCCTATGCTCCTTCAAAAGGAGTAACAAACGTAAGTAAGTAAGTAAGTTTTACTCACGAACTGACATTAGCTATAATACCAAAACTCTATTTAGCTAAATGGATCAATGAGTTTTTCACCAAAACCCATGATCTGCTGTCTTCTTATGTAAAAATAGTAGAAAACAAATCATAAATCTTATACAATTCATAAATTATATAAAAAGAACATTTATGTTTCATTGTTTTAACTAGATTATACAATCATTCAACAATAATAGTCATAGAAATTGTAAGGTTATTTTCAGTACTAATTAAATTCAGTAGTATAATTGTTGTTTCAGTAAATATTCACTGTTCATTAATAACATCATATAAGTTTTTTTAAATATTACTTAAATCATGTAACCAAGTGTATCAAACTAGAAAATTAATTCGTGTCAAAAACCAACAGAAATGTTTATTAGTTTATGAAATTAAGATCCATTTTGATCGTCTTACATATTCCTTGACATAAAGAGAATTTAGTGAAAAAAAAAACACTTTCTTTTTGACGAAATCAGTTACTTAAGCTGTACATTTGGATTTATGGTTGTTTAGGAAATACATGTCTTAGTGGTTTGAATTCACGAGTCCAAGTAAGCTAGATCACCATTGAAAATCTGGAAGTACTGGACGGTTATTTCGTCATAGTATGGAACTCTTCAACAATGCACGTCTACGAGTCCGCACGCGGGAATTGAACCTAGGACCTATCGGTCTAATACACGAACGCCTAACCTCTAGACCAACGAGCTGGTATTCGATGGTGTTAATGTCTAACTTCAATCAATCCACGAACTCTCGTCACCGTCCAACATTGTTTTCAGTCAGTTATTATCTCACAACAGACTCAGTTGAACTTCATTGATCACATCAAGTACTTCAAGGTTTTCCATGGGACTCCTCAACAGTGCGCATCCACGATTTCGCCATTTGTCTGATTTTTATGAGAGTCGTGTATATGAACTGCCAATGAGTAGTCTGATACTAATACAAAATAATAACTATCCAATGGTCCTTAGTTTCCTATGATTTTTTAAATAAAATCTATGTCTATATATTATAGATAGTTTGATGTAAAATGCTTTAATGTAATAAATGGCTAAATTCTTTTCAGATGTTAGTCCAAGATCATTGAATTTTCGTGTTAAACATTATCCAAGTGATCCAGTTAATGAATTTCGTCAAGAAAAAAGTCGGTAAGTGATTTTAACTCCTGTAATTCATTTTACAGACAAGTAATATATTTAATTTGTTTAAGATGACTAGTAGTTCAATGTAAACACATTAGAACAGGGTGTTATATAGAATTGATAGATTAATTGACAACTTTGCAAACTTACACTAAGTGACGTACCTATAACATATCTTATGCTTTCTTAGTCGTCGCTTATTACAACGTGCTGTAATGAATTGTATGCCAATCTGATTTATAATAATTCAAATCAGTTTAATAACATATTACTCTTTGAAGCTGAAAAAAATGCGATAATTATGATTTCACTGCATACAAATATTGATTTTTACTTGATACTCAAAGGCCAACCTAGAACTGGCAATATACAAACTTTCAAGATTGATTCCCTCAGATTATGTAGAGAAACCTGATACATTTCAGATAAATCTGCGTGGAAGATTTAATTGATGTAGGGTTAAATAAATTCAGACAATTGCTCATGGAAAATGGTTTTCATCCTCGATTGACTGACAGTAATCTTATATCAGTTAACTCGCTCATATGGAGCCTATTAGAGTGAGTTCATAAAATAAGTACTTTCCAAACCCATATCTGAAAACTACATAACATAGTGGCCTAAGAGCCAAGAAAAATCCGTAAACCCTTTTATTCTTGATGATATGGTTGATTTCACTCGTGTCACTTTATCAGAATCTTCATTTGAAATTATTTACTCAAAGAAACTGATCCTGACTGAGAAGCTAGGTGACACGAGATCAAATCCGTCAGAGGGCATCAAGTTACTTAAGATTACAGGTAGACCTTGCTGACGAGTGCCAAGTAGCGAGAAGCTCAGGTTCAAGGTTTCCTGTAGACTACCGCCAAACCACCATCTTACATCTCAACTTAGTGCGTGCGATGTAAAGTCACTTAAACCAGTTGCCACATAGAAACGTGATCGAAAGGATATGATTTGCACTACAAAGGGTTTGACATACGTGAAATTGGCCACCACTCAATGACCAATCAGCTGTAAATACAATACAACAGCTCCAACATCCTCATGTTCAGCCAAAGATAGTTTCAACCATCTTAGGACTTCAAAGAATTCAACACAATGCATTTGTAACATTAATAAAATGATTCTTACTGCAGTTATGAACCAATTTGTCGAAAACATGGAAGCAGTGGACAACTATTATGTCCTAGTATGGGACTCCTTGGTGATGCCAATCCACAACCTCACTACAGGTGATCGAAAAAAAGACCTTTAGTCGAATGCACGGACGCTTAGCCTCTAGACTACTGAACTGACCGGGATCCAATGGTGTTAATGCCTAACTTCAAATAATCCACGAAATTGAGTGACACATCCACCACTGTCATCAGTGAGTTACTATCTCACAACAGATCCGGTTGAACTCCACTAGTCACTACTTCTCACTAGAACCGCAGGATATACCTCTTGAAGCCAGTCACTAATGAGCACATATTGATTAGTATCACAAGTGGGTTTTCTGGAGATTGTAGTAATTTTTCAACAGTTCAGATCATAAATCATTTGAAGCTAGATCATCATAGAAAACCTGGAAGCTAACTGTATAGAAAAAACATATAAAAAAGTGATATATTGTTAAATCATTTCAAATTATTTTTGATCATTAGTTTTTAACTTTTGAACATTGTGAATATTTCTGTTTTGTTCAAGTTGTTTTAATAGATTTTAATTTGAGATTATTAAATGTAATTAGAAAATCAGATCAAGTCATTATAAATTATATTTGAAATAATCTCAGCGATTGAAATTTTAAATAATTCCAACGTTTCGTCCAACTAACTTGTCTGGACTTCTTCAAGGTAATAATCAAGATCAAAATCATCAAATATAATTTATAATGACTTCTTTATACTTGGCGCTCAATATCTGTCAAACTATTCATTCTAATCTTGACGAATATTCGTATAAATGAGATCAAGTGTTTAACTAACAGAACTTATCAAAAAAATATGATAGAACTTTTATTTTCTGAAATATTTTCATTTGAATTTATATTGTTGTTTATTTTTATTTAATAAACACTAATGTATGTTGTTTTTTTTTTAAAAAAAAATTTCTATTGAAAATATAAAACAAAACATACCATAAGATACTTACTGTATCTTCAATTAAGACGTGATCTTCATAGTGGAAGATTGATTGGAAGAAATTTAGAAATGCATGTATTAGCAGCATGTATATTACAAGGTTAGTTATTATTATTATTATTATTATTAAAGAAATTGTTCTGATATTGATGTACATTTGTTTGTTTGATTGTTTGTTTACTTTTTTAACGTTTTCCTATTTTATCTTTAAAAATACTCATACTGACTTTAGATAGATAGATATTGAAAGTCAGTAATTAATGGATAATTGTTTAGTTGCATTTTATGATTCTTCAGTAGCAGTGGATATGTATAAATATTCAGAAGATTTAGAATAAATACTCAATGTATCTTGACAAATGCTAAGCTATTAGATGATAATGCCAGGATCTTATTTTAAACTTAAATCAATAAAAGCTATTGTCATGATCATCTTTTGATTCTATTGGTGGGTAACTACCTCACATATAATATGATTAAACTCTATTGATCAAGGCTTCTCACTTTGATTAAAAATTACAAACTAATTTTTAATTACTAGTGACCTGTCCAGTTCTTCCTGCTTTCTAGTGATTATCTAATGAAGATCAACTTATAATGTAGACTATAATCTACACAAACATCTATAGTAGTAATATACATGGATTTTAAGTGACATCTGATAATGATGGGAAGAAAAATGATTTCTGATTTTCTACTTACAAAACAGCCAATTTTTATCAATTATTTGTATATGGAATCTAGGAAGATGTGAAAAAACAATATATATATAGGAAGAGAGAGAGAGAGAGAGAGAGAGAGAAAAAAAAACACACAGTATATTTCTATGCATTGCATATATATTAATGTATATTTTGCTAAGGATAAGGAGTTCTACTCAAGCATGAACTGTTGTGTTCAATCATTCATATACCTTAAAAGAAAAACTGTTGAAATTCATACTACTGTCTTAATTAGCAAGATCCTTTTAGCTATATTGAGTTCATGGTAAATAATAATAATAATTTTATTGAATACCTTTTTCTATAAAAAAATATATTTCTTTTTTCTTAAAAAACGTCTTTTTAGCTGAAATTGGAGACTATGATATCTTGTTAGATTATTTAGGACCTGAAGGTTCATTAGCTGATCTTAAAATGTTTGCTAATATTACACCAAAAACAGAATCAAAAATTGTAGAAATTTATAAATCACTCAAGTAAGTAGAAATTTGAAAATTTTTTTATTAAAAAAGGTATAATATACATTGTTTTCACTTTGTATTGTTTGCTTGTATCTTCCAATTGATGTTTAGGACTGTAATTGATCAGTTTCTTATTGACATATGTATATCTGTTGTGGCTCACCAATTTGTGGGGGGATCACCAAGTTGTGGTGGCTCACTAATTTGTTCAGTGTTAATCAAGTCTGGATAAATTATTGATTGTCTGTGTATTACAATCGATGGAAGAATAGATTAAAAATTGACATGTGCTCAATCAGACTCACACAGAAAATTACATGGTGAATCAAGTGTCTAAATTACAATGAACAAATAAATAATACAGTAGTGAAATGGTGATTACTACACATCATGTGCGGACTGCCTTGATATTCCTTTAAGTCATAAGCTTTATAGGTAAAGATGGATAGCGGTTAACAGTGGAATCCAGTTTGACGCGCATTTCGTCTTATTTCGGACAAGCAGGTGGCTATTAAGACTCAGTAGCTGAGTGGATAACTTGATCGTGTTTGAGAGGAACGGTATTGGGTTTGAGTACCAGAGTGAGCAACAACTCTGAGATACAGGTACATCCAACTGACGAGTCCCAAGTAGGACGAAATGCACGTCCTGAATTCCATTGCTAGTCACAATCCATCTTTCATTACAATTTTAAAATAATATATAATTTTTTTATATCAATGTGAATATAAAGTACTAATATCTATAGGAAAAAGTAATAACCATGACGTACCCTTGTAGTGAACAAGAACACCAGGGTGGACAATCGAATGTACTTGAGTACAAAATTACAGAGCATCTCAATAAAATCTGAGAACTATATAGTAAATAGCTAATTTGCAAAATATAAATCAACTGTCGTAAACTTGACTGTTCCTGTTGCAAACATCAATCCATTGTCTCAGATTTCATTGTTCATGCATTTTCACACCGATTGCATTCCATTCCTGTTGTTTCCTCATCGACCTTCTACTGAAATACATTCCATGCCTGACCATCGTTATATACTACTTGTGTGGATATAAGTAACCCACACAACATTTTAACTTATATATCTTATCTTCATCCTTACCTTTAATATATATTTGTCTTCATGATATATATATATATATATATATATATATATATATATATATATATATATCATTGTTTAATAATATCAATGATCAAGGTGTTTGCCTCAATAAATTGAACATGGAATTGACTCATCATCATTTAATATACTGTATAGTTTAGATTACTATAAAATTCGATCATTATAGCATTCATAAATATCAAGTTTTTTTCTAACTGTAATACTCTTTTTCAGAGGTATGTCAATGAGTGATGCTGAGAATAAATTTCTTGAAAATGCTGCAAAATTTGAAACATACGGTATTGAACCTTTATATGTTCAAGTATGTTTACGATGATTATTGTTTCTTATTTTTTTTGGTATATACTTACATAACTACTGATTAAATGTGTTAAGTTGATGAAGTTTAACCAGCAAGATTGTTGAAATTTATTCATTAAAAAAAACCAATTAGGCACGACAAGACTCTAATTTATGGACGAACCAATCAGAAGCGTTTTAGAGATTTCAATGTTACGGCGCCAACTTCAGTGATTAGTGCTAACGTAAGATCGGTTCACAAGGAATTTTGTACAAAACGTGATAATTGAGCGGCTATACCAAATAGGACGACGAGACTATAATTTCTGGACGAATCAATCGGGTATATGATAACAGATCTCGGAGGATGAAAGAATTTTTGAAACTTTATCATGGCTCCAGAGGCCGACTATTCTGTAACCATATGGTTGACTTCCTCTAGTGCATGCATTAAACTTTTAGAACCTCTGAACCTCTTTCTGACTTTGATAAGTTTTTAAACCACATATAAGAAGTGTCTTCACTTTATTTCCTTAATTTTGTACAATATATTTTACTCTATACTGACTGTTTGCTGATTGGCTAATATTTCTCAATGTCATTTAAGATTCGTTAAAAGGTTGTTCATAAATTAGAGTCTCGCCGAATTCGTTCTCTAAGGTGAATGAATTGATCACCTATCAGTCTCGCGCCAGTAATAGTGAATGACTATGCACCAAATAATAATAATAATTAATCATATTCACATGTTGAATATGATTTAGTTTGTGAAACGGAACATGTGATTTATTTTGATAAATTGAACTAGTATCTTACGAAGTAGAACTGAACATTAATGCCTCAATAAATGGAGGCGAGTTCGTATAATTTGTAACGGGAAAATGAATAGTGTTTAATAGACATAAAGAAAAATTCATCCTCTACCCTTATATTCATTTACAACTCATGAGTCATGGTCATCAAACGATGTATAATCTATTGTTCAGTCAATTATTACCTTTCAAATATACCTTTGACAACTATCCTAAAATGATATAAACACATCGTCTCTCGGTGTTTCGAAATGGTACGAACTAAACAGACTGCTTGCAAATTAACCGGAGGTAAGGCACTTTGAAAGCAGCTGGCCACTAAGGCTGCCCACAAAAGTGCCCCAGCTACAGGGGGCGTTAAGAAGCCACATAGGTAAAGACCTGGGACTGTCACCCTCCGGGAAATTCGTTGTTACCAGAAGAGTACCATTCTAGCGTTTGGTCTGGGAAATTACCCAAGACTTCAGGACCGATCTACGGTTCCAGAGCTCAGCCGTGTCTGCTCTACAGATATACATTGACTTATCCTGATTATATATATATGTTCTCGAAATAGTTTGATTTTTAGTTATCAACCTAAAAAGTGACTTGATACTGATTGTTTATTTCCTGGGAAAACCTATGGTCACTTGAGTTTTATAACTAAGAATTAAACACCTATACACATCTAGCTTTTTATATCAAAATTTAATACATTTCCCAAGAAATATTTCAGATTTATACATTAAACCATGTTTAAAATCTCGACCGGCGATGTAAACTGATATAGAAGCAGGTTGGGAGGAGATAGTGGGTTGAATCAGAACATGGTATTATTCCATGAAGTCATTAACTGTTGCTTTAGCCATATTGATAGATATGGACTACTGGTTTGGGGTTCACGCAATAAATACCATCAGTGGTTTGAAGCATTGAGTAAGATTGCTTAGAATCTATCACAGTGGAGTAGATATATTCACTGCTTAGTTTCTTCTAGATCCAGAGCTCCAGTATTCCTTCATCTATATCTTTTCTTTTTATCTTTACAAATCATGTTATCAATTTCTAATTTTTCTGATTATCATTGGCATTACATTATTTCGATTCCTTCAATATTTATTTTATCGTACCAATATGATGTGGCGACGTCAACCACTGATATACATATATATACTTTAAGAAAAGAGAACCAAATTCAGAGGACAGGAACCTGAGATAAGATTCACCTTGTCAAGTCATCTAAGTGTATAGCAGTCAGTAATTGACGTTATGTTTTCGTTTATTTGATAACCCAGTTGTAGATATTTTGGTGTAATTTCTGTGATAGAATTATTTGGAGATATATCCTATATTACGTTATGATTTTTCTTCCGTCACGACTGACTGTTCTACACTTAACATGTCCGCAGCTTGATGAAGTGGTATTCTCGTCATACAATAAAACATGACATTTTTCATGTAAGCCAAAGAAGATTACAGATCAAAACTGGAATGTGAATGAAGTTTATCGTCACTTGAACTGAGTATAAAATTGATTAATAATTTTGACTAAAACAAAAAAATATCAGAAGGGGTTTTGTGTAGTTTGTAGTAATTTCAACAGTTGAGACCATGAGTCAGTTGAAGCTAGATCATCATGGAGAACCTGGGCGCATTGGATAGCCGTTTCGTCCTGTCGTAGGACTCCTCAGCAGCGTGCAAGCACGACCTCGCCTTGTGGGATTCAAACTCAGGACCTATCGGTCTCGCGATAGGTGCTTGACCAACTAGACCATCAAGCTTGTCGGCATCCAGTAGTGTTAATGTCTAACTTCAACCAATCCACGAGATTGAGCGACATATTGGTTAAGCGCCTGGTGCCAGATTGATAGATCCTGAGTTTGAATCTCGCGAGGCAGGGTCGTGCATGAGCACTGATGAGGAGTCCCATGATAGGACGGAACGCTCGTCCAGTGCCTCCAGGTTTTGCATGATGGTCTGGCTTCAATCGACTCATGATCTCATCTGTTGAAATAAAAAAATAAAATCAATCCGTGAAAACCTTTTGTAAATAATTAACCAAGTTTCATATATATATATATATATATATATATATATATATATATATATATATATATATATTGTATAATAAAACAGTACAGTATTCATAAAGCCACGGAAACAATAGTTTGATAGAATAACTAACCATCTATCAAATTTCACGGTTTTATAGAAAAAAAACTATTCATGGAAATAAAGAGAAAATATATATATACAATTGCATAGTAAGTTTATCGAAAGAGAGATTTCACTTGAGAAATAAATTATAAAGGTCATAAAAGTGTAAGTTTTCCTAAAATGTCATAGCAACAACTAATATAAACTTTATTTTAACCTGAAAAAAAAAAAATAAAGTGTTAAAAAGTAAAAAAAGAAGAAAAACAAAAAATAAACAAACACCTAGTTTATATAATATTAAATGTTTCCTTTTTTTTTAAATTTTATAAAATTGAAGTATAACAATAGATTACCCCATTGAAATGTCTACAATCTTTAATAATAATTATAAAATTTTAATATAAAATGATGGATAATGGTTAGCAATGGAATTGTAGAAAAGAATAATCATAATAATACTATCTCAAATAACATCTTGTTACAATGGAAACAATGTATATATATATATATATATATATTCAAGGGAAAGTAATTGAGAATTCATGTGTCATTTACGTGTCAACGAGTATTTACTGCGACAACTGACTTTTATTAAACAGGAAATAAATAGTAATGTGAATAAGATGTTATCTGATTCTTAGAAGATTATGGAAACAGAATTTAAAGTAGATTTAAAACAACTTTGGAATATGTATAGGCTAGACAGTTCATGTGTAGTAAATAATAAGTCAATATACTTAAGATTTTTCAATCAATAATTTCAATGTTTAAGATCATGAGTCAGTTGAAGCTAGACCACCATGGAAAACCTGGACGGCCGTTTCGTCCTATTATGGGACTCCTCAGCAGTGCGCATCCACGACCCCGCCCACTGCGAGATTCGAACCCAGGACCTACTGGTTTCGCGCGCGAGCACTTAACCACTAGACCACCGAGCCGGCCGGCATGCAACGGTGTTAATGTCTAACTCTAACTAATCCACGAAATCGAGCGCCACCGTACACCATTATCTTCAGTGGGTTACTATCCCACAACAGACCTGGTTGAACTCCACTGGTCACTGCTTCTCACTAGAACTCCAGGATATACCTCTTGAAGCCAGTCACTAGTCAGCATTGATGACTTAATCTATATTTAAAGTGGCTAATACAGTCAAACACTTTGAATTTGTTTCTATCTAAGAAGATCTATAGTGATTGATAAGTATGACTGTGTCTCTCTTGTTTTAGATGACTAGTTTCTAACATAAAAGTGTTTATCTACCCAAAATATTGTATTTTTTATGTTCTTTAAATAATGTTGTTGGACACATCTATTACATATGCTCAACCACCGCTTGTTTCGATGGGTGATGTTATATGATGAAAAGCTATAAGAAAGCCAAAGGTAGCCAATTAAGGAGGCTTTATTAATTCATCAAGTCACTGACAAATGGTCTGAGCCGTGTGAGTATATGCAGATTATCTGATAGAGTTCCATGTGATGATAGTGACCAGTGGTTTGAAGATGTTGGGTAACATGTCGTAGAATAGGATAGAATTACACAAATGACTTCACTTTATGTCATTCTTAAGATCTGAAGTACCAAAATCTAACAGTGTATTTCTTTTTCACTCTATATCCATTATTTTATATTACTACTACTACTACTACTTCAACTACCACTACTATTACTACTACTACTACTATTATTATTACTACTGCTACTACTACTACTAGAGTTGAGATACGTGTCCAGAGTTTCCTAAATTTAAATATTTGTCTAAATACATTTGGTTTGTTCCGTAAACTATAGAATTCAACAATCTCTATAATTCCCCCCATACAGTACTGAAATAATTATATTTATTAGATTATATAGTTACAATTAGTTCTATTGGATAAAGTAAAGATTAGAGATGATAAAAGAGAATTTTTTTTTTAATTTATACTTTTAAATGTTTATATAGTAAAAAAAATGATAAATTTTGTAAAAATTAATGTTTAATTCACCCACTTATCATCATTGAGATCTCTTCATTTCACATCTATCAATGGTATATAACTAGGTTAGAAAACAAATAAAGTTTTTCTT